GCATAACTTTGAACGCATCTGGGAAGAAAGTGTTGGGATCAGCGCTTATAGTATTAGCGGGTTCTGCCAAGAAAGCCTTGAACTGGAACAGCGTCCTGGCGTTCAGGATGGCGGCTTTGTTTGTTGGTTCAGCATCTGCAGGGGGACCTGACCATGTCCGCAGTGACACTCAGGCATTAGGGTTTCAGCACCTTTCCATCACCATATTAAAGCATCTGTTGCTATTTTGAAGGGGATGCCTTGGTGCAGCTGACTCACTGTTTCTCAGCTTTGAGTTACTAGCCACTAGCTGTGATTGCTTGGGAGTTTCTCCATAGACACAGCACATACCACACCATTCTGTCCTGTGGTTTGAGGACTTTGTCTAGTGGATGCAAAACACTTTTTATGTGCTTGTGAAGATGTACATGAGGTGTCAGAAGAGCAGATCTCCCACCTCGGGTGATTCTGGTGCGTACTCACAGTAGAGGTCGACCTCTCCTGCCATCTTTTCTTCATTTGGCTCTGCTGGGCCCATCCCTATGAAAGCTCCCCTTCATCCCTGCCTGAAAAAAATCCTTTTGACTGGGAATATCTCAATTCAGATACCATGAAACCTTTCCTAAATCACCAAATCACATGCCCTAGGATATTTTTGTATCTTTACATATATCTTAGCTTTACCCAGGCCAGTTCTGCACGAGTCTCCTTCTGACGTGGAGTGGGAGCTGGTTGAGAATAATGCTTTTATTTATTTTGGCTGTTCTCTCCATCACCATTCCCATGTCAGAGATTGAAATGTGTGTGGCATATGTTGAATGCCTAAAATTTTGTTGATTTCGGGAGCCATTTCACTTTTAAGAAATAGAGAAGGTATTTGCTAGACATATGGAAATAGATGATATATATATTTTTAATTCCAAATTCTGTGCCAATGATTATTTTGGCAAATTTCCAGAGGTTTAACATACTTTTGAAATGAGATTAGTATTCTCTTTCTCAAATGGTCTTTCATGGTCTTCCAAATGTTTGACTATGCAGTTGTAGCATTGCCCCCCCAGCATTGAAGGAACAAGGAGTCCAAAGAAAGTGTCATCATACTTCATTGGATGGTTGTCAATGTTGACTTCTTTTAGGAATAGTTTCCCTGACGGTATTCATTGGAAAAGGTTGACTTGGAAAATGGAAAGTTGGGGAATATGGCAGATTGCATTATCATTCAAAAACATTTGCTGCTCTTTTATGGGAGAAACATCCCCATTCGGATGACAGAAGGGATGAGATTTGCTCTGGCCCATGAAACATGAGAAGGAAATGTGTGTAGCACTTTTCTAACACAATCTCCAGCAGTGCTGTAGCCAGACAGAGTTAAGTGGAGACACAGCCAAGAAAGAAATAGAAAATCTGTTATGAAAAACTACTGAGGTTCAGAATTTGTTACTGCAGCGTATGCCAACTTAGGCTGACTGCTACAGGACTGTTCAAGCATAGTGATACAGTGAAATTCATCTGAAACAAAGAGAAGAAATGATAAGTGATAAGAAAAGTTTGAGATTGCCATGAACTCACAAACTAAGAGACACCATTGAAGTTAATTCAATAATGACATTGAAATTGGCATGGGATTTCACACTAAGATTCAGTAAAGTCCAGGTCTGATGGCTCATGCTTATAACCCTAGCACTTTGGGAGGAGGATCCATTGAGTTTAGGAGTTGGAGACCAGCCTAAGCAAGAGTGAGACCCATCTCTACCAAAAATAGAAAATAATTAGCTGGGTATTGTGGTGCACACCTGTAGTTCCAGCTACTTGGGAGTTTGAGGAAGGAAGATCACTTGAACCCAGGAGTTTGAGGTTGTTGTGAACTAAGCTGACACCACAGCGCTCTACCCAAGATGACAGAAGGAGATTGTATCTCCAAAAATAAAGAAAATATTTAATAAAAGCAGTGAACGTTACATGTGTTGGAGTCAACTAAAGAGTTACACAAACAAAATAAATTTTGCTGTTCTCATTCATTGAGAAAACAGATTTATTTATTCACAATGTATGATGGTTTTAACATTTACGTAGGCATGACAGTATGTTACAAATGCATCACTTACCAAACTCTGCCTTGGGGACTGTGCAACCTACTAAAGAGGATCTTACCTTGCTAACTATAATAATTATATTTTTAATGAGATTTAAAATAGTTGAAGAAGGTAATCACCTCTATTTGGAGGGAGGAATAAGATATGATTCATGAAAGATGGGGCATTTGACCAAGACTTTGAGGTATAGGTAAGGAAAGACACTTCTGAGAAAATGGGTGTAAACCAGCAAAGGCAGGGAATGTGGACAATTATTTTGAGGTAGTGAAAATGTTTAACTTTTAACTAGAAAATGTTATGCTTAATTCAGGGATATGGTGGAAAAAGAAACTGAATTTGACTTGGGAAAACATTGGGTAAACTAAACTCCCTGGATGAGTATTTTGATGTCTGATCAAAAGATTTTGAGTATGTCGTGACAGTGCTTGTCGGTGATATGATTCCAGAATGGAATCACAGTGATCCCTGTGAGGACAGGTGCTGGGAGAGGGCAAGGCCCGTGAAGAGGGTCTGACTCACCTCAATGACACATCAGGTCAATGGTCTGGATTTACAGTGGGGGGGGGATCTAAAACAACAGAACTGTGTTTCATCTGTGTGAAGGGAAGTCTTACTTTATTGACGGTGCTGGGAGAAAAATCAGTTAGGTGTTACCTCATGTCAAACACTGAGATAATTGCCAACCCCCAAATTAGGCTTGTACATAGATCTTTATTAGGGATTATCAAAAGCTATTTATAAAACATACGATGTCATCATGTTTACAAGGTGATACAGACTCTTTTATGAACTGCTGATCGTTGCAGGGTACACTGGTGTGATTCTTTTGCAAAGTAATTTGACAATACATATCAAAAGCTTTAAACATTGGACTACTTGCTCCTCTTTTAGCGTATTCAGCCTAAGTCTAAATATAGCAAAGATATTCTCAAGACTGCTATTTATAGTTTTATAAAAATGGAAAGGATCTAAGTCTACAACACTCAGGAATTTGTATTTATAAATTACAGAGTCCATTTGTGTACACTTGATAAAAAACCAGGACGAACTAAAATTTATATTTACAAATAATTTGCAACAACTATGAGAATTTTTATACTGTGCTGATTAGATAAAATATACATTTGATCAGAACCATGTACACTGTGCACACACACACACACACACACACACAGGCTGAAGGGAATCTCCCACATTGTCAGCCTGGAGTGTGGGATTTGTTAGGTGATTTGTTTTCTATTTCATATAATCCTAGTTGAAATGGTGATTGATGCAGAAGTCAGAGGCCTGGAAATAGAATCGTCCATCTCCTATGCAGTGGTAACAGTCATGGGAGTGAATCAGGTTGCTAAAGAAAAGAATATAGGGGGAGATGCCTGTGGCTCAAAGGAGTGGGGTGCTGGCCCCATATACCGGAGGTGGTGGGTTCAAACACGGCCCTGACCAAAAAAAAAAGAATATAGAGACAAACATGGAAGGGACGGGACCAATGTCTGGAAAGTCTGGATATTTGGGGCAGGAGAAGGAAAGGAGCCTGTCAGGCCTGGGCAGGAGGAGGCCCAGAAAGGCCTCAGGAGGAGAGCTCTGACCATGGGGGTGGCAGGGAGCAGTCCAGGGAGGGGACTGGAGAAGGCTGCTGTGTTTCCACTGGTTGGCCTTCAGCCAGCTTTGTCAGAGGCCAAGGAATGAGAGGGTTCAAACTGATAAAGCAGACTGTTGATGCAGACAGGAAGGAATGAAGGCCACGATTGCCTTGCTCCAAGAAAAACAAAATAAATCAGAAACAGCAAATATAACAGCACGTGTGGCATCATCAGCGGGCTAGCGTCTCACTCTGCAGTGGTGGAGGTGGGATTTCAAAGTGTGCTGAGGAGAGCGATCACATCTGAGGATTACCAGTGGGAGTAGCATGCAGGAGAGCAGGCCCCAATGGAGGCTTCTTCGAGGCTCTCCTTCCTGCCTTTTCCAAGGCTAGAGCGAGCAGAGCAGCTGAGGTCCACCCTGCCTTCTTTGGGGCAGGACTTGCTCCTCTGCCCTCTGGTTCTTAATGAGGGTGCCCTGAGCTATTGTGGTTGGTCCAAGGGCCATGCTGCCAGCACCCATATTCAAGGTCATGCTGGATGGGCTAAGAGGACGTCTGCTAACGCCTCTTTTGCCCGGTAAAGCCTGGGGCCAAATCTCCCATCTACAGTGAAGAAGAAGATGCCGAGTAACTGGATGGAGAAGCCCCACGATTGCCGAACATCAGGGAAGATTTCAGTCCCATCAGGCTGACTTCTGGGCCCTCCCCCTTCACCATCACAGTTACACAGAAGAGTCACTGTGTCTACTGCCTAGTAGAAAACATGGATTAGAAAAAAGAGAGAGAAACCTATCTAAGCAAGCACGATTACTCATAATAATTACGATGAAAGATCCCTCAGAGCCTTTAAGATGTTCCTGTGCTCTTTGTCACAGTAAGGGGATGTGGCCATATTTGGGGGGCTTTCATCAGAGCAGTCCCCCTTCCCATCTCTCCTGGAGAATCTGGTCTCGTACCACATGATCTGAAATGCTCAAAATGCTTTTTGCATTTATCCTGAAGGGCTTCACTGTGATAAACACACATCATTTCTAAATAAACAAGGAATTGGCATTACTCTGTATTCCAAGCTAAAAATTTCCCCAGCGTTTTCCCAGGATTGGTTCTCAGCTGAGCCTTTAGCCTGAGGAGACTAGTAACCTTATCATTATCTTATCAAAAGATGAAAAACAGCCCACCCCCACCCCAACTCTTTGAATGCCTTCGGCCTGCAGAAGCAGACTGCAGGGTTGTGGGCCCACCTCTGTTCTTGAGCTGGTCGGTGCATGCTGTTGACCCTGCACATCAGAGCAGCCTCTGTCCGCAGCACCTTCTCTCCACGTAACACCCTTGTCTGTTCACCACAGGTGCCTATCCCCGACTCTCACTGAGCTTCCGGTTGAAGAGAAACATTGGCTACTTCATTCTTCAGACTTACATGCCCTCCATCCTGATAACCATCCTCTCCTGGGTGTCCTTCTGGATCAATTACGATGCCTCTGCTGCAAGAGTTGCCCTTGGTATGTGCTCTTTTTATGTGGTATTTGAAATGTAAAGTAACCGTATCATTACAGAATTAAGAGAGTTCAGAGGTTGTAGTTCAACTACAATTTTTTGACATCATGGCACAAGCGTTGTTGCCCATATAGTTACTTTGTCTTGAGACACTAATTTCACGCATGATTCTCTTGATATGTTAATTTAATTATAAGGCTCAAATGTGAATTTTCATGCCCATGAAAGGGAAAATATGCTTGCAGAATATTTGCATAATAAAACTATTTTTGACACTAATTTTAAAGCAAGGATTAACATCTCCTGTTTGAAATTATTCCATGGCTCAGAAAGAAGACTTGATTAATTGTGCATTCTTCTTTTTTAAGTCAAAAAAGTAGTCAAATATTACACCGTATAATTGGAATTACACAATTTAACGAGCATTAAAATATGCAATTAGATTCTGAGTGATTCTCAAAAACCCTAGTGAGCTTTCTGACCATTGGCTACTTGACGAGTGGATTATTAGCCAAGGTACAGTACACATATTATGGGTTCCAATATTATTTTTAATATTTTCATTATTAAGGGAAGGCTTATATTTTATAAAACATTATTCTCTACTTAGCTAATTATTATGAAACTATACAGACCAAATAATAATTTAAATACATTTAAGTAAATACAGAGCTGATGAGCGATCTCCAGTCCATCCCGTCTTTGGGCAAGGGATTTAATTCCTGAAAGTGAAATTCTAGATAGCACTTAACACAGTTACTGGTAAAGTAGCTTACAGAAAAACAAGAATTCAAGGTTCCGGTTGTTGCTCCTTTTCTCCCTTTCTCTGTTTACCAGTGTTTCACAGGATTTTAAGTTGATTAACATTTTTTTTCCTTTTTGAATGTGGGTACATATGTATATGTGGGTGATAGATTTGTGTCTTACACAGTTGTGTTCAAGAGCAGATTTTCTTCCAGGAAATAACACATAACTATGACTTGAGACAATCAGATAACGTACTCCTCCGGGTGAATAAAAAAGTACTCAAGTAAAGTATCAAAAAACTAAAAGTGCTATATTAATTGTTATGTTTTTCTAATAAGTATAGTAAGAAAAGTTTTCTTAAAAAGAATCTCCAGGATTTCCATACAGTCTGAAGAGGTTACCCTGTAACATCAACCTTTTTGTAGGGTTTACATTTTTTTTAATAACACTGGATTACTCATTGGTAAACTATTTTCTTACTTAGAAAAAGATACAATGAATTTGTAGGTGGAGATCAAAATTTTGCAAAGCCGTTAGCTTATACAATTTCAAACACAGCTGCTGGGACCACATTCTGAGGCTGAAAGCGGCCTGTGCAGATGGAGATCCATAGTTGAAACTTCACAGGGCTCACCCATGCTATATGTGAATCTGCTATTATTGTGATAATTGGAAAGCATAGTACCGAAGAACCATGATTACCTGCCATCACGTTGGGTGAGGTGCGCTGAATGTGTGAATAATTGAATTTCCAAGCTAGACCAAATCCCACCCCTCTTTACTTGTAAAACAGTGTCTTCCACCATTTTGCACAGGTACCTTGAGTGGGTTCTATTTATCCAACCTCATTAAGGGACGCGAAAAGTACATTCTTCTTTTTCATAAAAGGGACGTGAAAAGTAGATTCTTCTTTTTCGTAACAATGTGGCATTACTGTTACAAACCTAAATCATGCCTCTGTGCCTTTGCTGAGTAAAGGCATGGCCTGGCCAGGGTGGCTAAGGCCTCCTACTGGAGGATGTCGGGATCTGATTGATGGTTGGGCTCTGGAGTCTCAGAACATGCACCATGCACACTCGTGCCCTCTGTATTTCCTGCACATTCATGCCCTCTGTCCCCCCGCACACTCGTGCCCTCTGTCCCCCCGCACACTCGTGCCCTCTGTCCCCCCCGCAC